GTCAGTATAGCAACATTCTATTAGCTCGGTCAGTACGGCAACATTCTTGTAGTTCGGTCAGTACATCAACATTCTGTTAGCTCGGTTAGTGGGGCAACATTAAGCTCATTCGGTTAGTATGGCAGCATTCTATTACTTGGGTTAGTACAGCAACGTTTGGTCGGATAAACGACCTCTGCTCAATAGACAACATGCGTCATGTTATTCATGGTCAAACCATAGTAATGAAAAGTGACCTCTGCACCACCCGATACATTCAGCAAAATGGAGCTTTATTCCTTATAAAACCTCCATCGTTTTGTATATTACAGTTAGATTATTAATTACATAAACAACCAATTATATCTGTATACACAACAGTATTCGAATAATTTATTCTTCAAACGTTTCCGGGATGAATCTGCTGTAGAATGAGTGAAAATGATACGTAAAACTTGTTGTACGGAAATCAATTTCACACCAAGTCATGATTTCATATTGCTTTCATCAAAATTAAATCGACTAAACTCCTGATTATTTCTGAAGTCACCACTTTTAAAACCAAGTAAAACTAATTAACTGATTCACATCAGTTTTACTGGGTTTATCATGATTCCTGTTTTAGTAGTCATGCCTTTGTTTTTGATACACAAATCTGATTCTGATATCATTTTTATTTTCTTTGCGTCTTTACATTTTTCCGTCAAATAATAGAAGACAATTTAAGCTATGTCATGTGCATGGACAGCAAAAATAATGAAGATGGAAGGGAGAAATGATTTATAATGATTTACCTCACGAGCTTTACTTTCTCTGCTGCACATTTTGAGGATCGAACCAAAATTCCTGGGAGTGTGGGTTTTTGTAGTAGTGTTAGCAATTACTCTGAAACATCCACCGTGATTGATAAAATATTATTCAAGACGTTTCAACGGATTTGTTTTGTCTTGTTACATCATTATGACTATGGAGCAATTTAGTGATTAATGTTGGACAGCAATTATCCATCAACAGTTTTAATTCTGAATTCACCACAATCCTGATTTATTGCCTAATCCTAATGATGGAAATGAAAACTACAATGCAAGGCTGTGGTACTTAGTATTTTGAAATGTCATCTGTTCATTGTAGATATTACTATGAAAGATAGGCCGGCAATTCCATGAGGCTTTCATATTGTGATAAGAATTAAGTAAATTTCTAGTTAAATGTACTTCTTAATTTTCTAGTGGCAATAGTGAGTGTGGTTACATCGGTAGCTAATTGTCATAAATGGTGAAAAACTAACTTTGATAAAATGTTATTCTTTTCCCGTTATAACAAAACAACATTTGTACATATAACTAAGATAAATAACGAGGAAAATATCGGCTTATCAACAAAATCTTAATTTGAACTCAAAGTAGATTAAACTAAGGCAAAATATGGACAGAAGAGAGATATAAGAAGAGTAAGCATCTTTCCCTTCATCGACAATACCCGTAATGTAATTCTTTGTCAAAGTAAGTCACGTGATGTTCCCAACTGATAACAAGGTAAACAACAACCAAACCAACAAATACACTAACGATAACCTAACAACGCCCACTTTCACATCACACATGAAAATAACAAGTACCTGGTTAGTTATAGATGACGTTAAACTCGAACAACCTGTACAGTAAACAACGGACCATTTCACAACAACGTTGCAACAACGGACTTGTCGATTATGCTAAGGGCTTAATTCGGACGCTGTGGAAAATCCCAAGCGATGGAAAGAAACAGTAAAAATCTAGATGGAGAGATGCGGCAGACCACTTATTCAATAAGTTCTGACAATTTCAGAAGGACGCGAAATACATGTGAATACTAAAAGCATGCCACAAAATCGACCGAATCTAAACGTAGCATGCATGTTAAGGTAGACCTTTCGGACTTTAAGTCCACCAGCAGTGTCTACCACCTGCAATATCGAAGATTGTACGAATAGTCACATAAGAGAACAGCCGTTTGATACAATTAAGAATTAGATACAGTAGACCCAAGTGATGAATCAAACTTTACCATACAGCTGTTTCTCTATCCTATTGTTTACACCCAGGTAAAGGTTGTTTTTTCGGCTGTGTAATGGCATGTTGACATCCCGATTTATTCATTGAAAAAATCGAGAATATACTTATTATATTTCTTATACTTGCTCATTGCACAAGGATCGTGAAACAAAACATAAACAAATCGTTAATACGTTTCTTCTTTACCTTCGTAAAAATCTCCTGATTTGCTCAGAATACTAGATATACAGGACAACAAGGAACAAAGAGAAATCCACATACATGATCAATTATCCTCCCAGTACAGTAAATAATATAACTCAACTATCAAACTCCAAGATGGCCACCTGGCAGCCATTTTATTTTTCTGATTAGTCCAAATATGGACAATGCACAACAATGGACCATTAAGGGAATCTCCATTTCAATCTGAGAATGGTCCATCTGTTATATATAAAGTAAAAGGACTAAGAAGGATGGAAGGATAGACAGGCGATAGATGTGTAGCAGATAAAGAGCTATTTGAACAGCCCATCATCTCATGATGACACAGAAAATTAGAATTAAAGAAAATTTTCTGTCATGAAAATCTAGTTAATAAGTACAATCATCACATAGTAAGACCCTGATCACAAAATGTTATTATTTCCCCACTGTTTCATTTAGGAGGAAAAAAAGTAAACATGCAGTGTTCGGTCCACACCTGATAGGTGTTGCAGTAAATGTTTACCTAAATTTTTCAACTACAGATCATTCTTTTTCCAGCAAACACTTCAATATATCAAGAGAATAACAGTAAAGATATGATTGTAACACCTCTTATTTTTTAAAGTTAAAAGAAAGAAAACACAGAAGATAAAGTCAAAAGTAATCATATCAATCTGCATGATTAACATAGGCTCCATTGTTACAATGATAGGAAAACTTCAATAAAAAGAAAAACGAGCGAAACCATCATACACTTAGTACTACATCTTTTATCTGTGTTCAATGATTACGTTGCGATGGACACGAGTTTTCCAAAACACGCGTACTTATATATATCCAATGTAGATATCATCAATGATAAAACATATTTCTGGTTAAATACGATGACGTATTCTACCTGTCTGATACTGTGAGAGAATATATTGTTTTGCTAAATCCGCCCTGGACTGGTATAGTCACAGCTGTTCTGATTTAGTGAGAGCAAGTAAAGGGAATCAGATTAGCGTGGGTACTCGGATTGAAAATAAGGTAATATTTGAATAAATCATCGGACCATGTATGACCAGCATTTCAATTATCAAAATATCTAAAAATAAACAGAGAAAATTATCCTTTTATATGAATAGTATCGATATGACATGGCATCACATCTTTCAATTATAATCACTTATTTGAAATCATTATTGAAAATATAAATAGATAAATGCAAATGAAAAATGTAACTTATTTTTTGTTTGGTTTCTTAATTAACCAGTTTATCGCCATGCTATTAAACTTCATCGTTGCGTTAAATAAATAATTATGGATTTTTATTCAAATTAATTCTTTTCGTTCATAAAGACAAAATGCAGCTTTATCTGTGGTATTGGATAATGACACTACAACACTGAAAAGTAAGGGCTATTAAAAATTCAGGGAATATCAAAAATTCCTTTTATTGTTGATAAAATTCCTTGTCGACTACTATGTATACACGAAAGTGCTACCTAATTATTCCGGTGTATAATCCCCGGGGCTATTTTGACTAAAGCATTAATTCAACATTTATCGAAAGTAAATGTGCATTCATATATTTGCCAAGGAGTGATAAAATTTGATCACATTTTGTATAATTAGGTCTAGAATGTTACATTTATAAATTAATTTTGATGTCCGCATTGACTTCGCGTGATCTTGGATGAATGCACGTCTAGATCTAGTTATAGGCTATTTCAAAAAAGTCAATATATCGTCATCGCTACCTATATATTATTCGTATGCAATATTCTACACCGTAAAAATATGTAATTATCCTCAGAAAGTGACTTTGAAATACATATTGAACTTGGTAAATTACTTTTAACTCATAACCACTTACAAGTGGAATGTTTGCTTGCAAAACACGGTCTTCTCATAAGTCAACTAACTGTAGCATGCTTTAAACGATAGATAAAATTCTTCAAGTTTCTTCAAGTGTGTCATCATAGCTGAATGAAAAAAAAACTCTGTAAACCAGTAGCCGTGTATCTTATATAACATGATATACGTGTTTTTTCAATGTTATATATAGTAATTTTGAGCATTTGAATTAAACTATGAAACTAGTGATAGATATTTGGCCTTGATCACTATGGATTCGAAACTATGGATCATAGGATCTTTCTAGCTCCGACGGTGTAATTGACCAATCATTTTACGAGGTTGTTTACGTCTTGTTTTTCCGCTAGATTGTGTATGCTGTGCGATTCTGTCTGGATTATGGTGACCGTTTTCTTGATTAACTTTGCCAATTTTACATCCGAGGCGACAAAAGTGCTTCACAAGGATATTAATCATTTCAGGTATTGTTGAAATGAATGAATTAGACAAACAGAGGAATCGACATGGGTATTTTCTTGGTTCTACTGCGCACAAAGTCTACTGACAGTCTCGCCGAAGTTCAAGGCCTTACTCGGTATTTCTGTAGGTACTGAATCAACATTTCAAGGGGATTAGGACAAATTTGTGAACTCCGTGGATTATATTCACGTAATAATGTCTTGATTGATTATGGTGTTGTAAGATTTACCATGATGTGAATCGAAACGATCTCGTGTTTCACTGGAACAACATGTCCTAGGCCTGCTGTTATTTGGAATATGGCCGATTGTATGCGGAGTTCATTGATAAACAATCCATTTGGAATTTATAGTGATTGGCAATGTGACGTGCCATAGTGAATTATTTGTTACTTTTGAATTGAACGTAGAGATACAAAAATTACTGTACTTGTCAATAAGCAAGTTTTTAAATGTCTGTGATATTATTCTAAATATGTGTAAGTTAACATTGAAGGCTGCGTTATGCATTTCCTGTGTGGCCTTTCTCGTGGCAACAACTGGATCTTATGTTAACGGGCAAATTGCAGAGACGAGCGTAGCTACAAAACAAGAAATAAGTAAGTATTTATTTTGCTTATGTGTTTAATTCTTTGTTGACCTGCGTGTTGTATGTCGTTGTACCCATGCAGTTTGCGCCAATTCTGATGAATGAATTCTTGAGTGACTGTCCGACTTCCGGTGTACACAAGCAGGCATGCATAAGCCGTATTTCATTTCACTAGATATGTCCCGACATCACACGTTTTATATACACATCATCTTACATCACTAGTGTTTTGTCGGGTTTTTATGGTTGTTCCAGATTGTAAGCATACAACTTGAGTTTTCAGACCTTTTGTATTCGTGGGTGTATTCCCGTCTGACCACATGGGCTTGACCCTAGGAGATGGGATGGCCTGGGCCAGTAGAGGTCATTGTTGGTCATCAAGTCTAAGTTCAACACCATGGAGGGGGTCACTGGCTGCGGTGACTAACCACAATATCAATGTGTCATTAACATTTAAATATTTTAACTCCAAGTGTATATGAAGAGTAGAAGGTATTTTATAAAGTTAAGTATTAATTTTTTTTTTATATTTTAAGCTTTTTTTACATGTCTTGAAAACATTGTCCCTGTCTTCATGACAAATTCACAAATTAAAATGAAATGATTTTTTTTTCTTTTGTGTAAGAGCAAGGTAAACATATTTCTTTTAAATTTAATAACATACTTATTATATGTATATTTACATTGTTGATAATTGAATGAAATTAAATGTTTAAATTAAATTTGATGCAGCAGCATTTACCATATTTAAGTTACTTCACAGCATCCCAGATATTGTATAACTTTACTTTGAAAATCATAACAGATAGAGAACATGTCAAATTCAATATTGTGCAAATAAGAATTTAATTTCTCTCAACTAGGATATTTTGACATGTAATAACCTATTATGATGATTATTATTTTCATAAATTTACAAATTTCAGTTGTACATGTCAAAGAACAATAATATTTATTAAGGAAACTAAGATGAAAAAAGGTTTTTTGTTTTTAAAGATTTCCTTTCATTATATGATAGCATTCCTTTTTCATTTGACAAATAAACATATTTTTCAAATTTTACTTAATTAGTTTTATATGTTACTTGTTTCTTTGAATACTTCTTTTTAGTTAAATTTCAAGTTGTTTTATTTGGGTTTATTAATTTTTATATTGATGTATTCAGTATTCTAAATGTAATTAATTTCAATAAAAGCTGCATTAATATGTGTTCATTCTTCATGGATTTTGGTGTCTAGTTCCCATTGTAAATTGGTATACTTGCTGTCTAAATGTATGTTTTTTTTTTTTTTTTTTTTGGAATTCAGTAAGAAAGAAAATATTTCTCTTTTCTTTTTTTTTGTGTGAAATTTTTATATAGCCTAAGAATTATTTTTAGGGAAAAATTGATTTTATCCCTCAGTCTCACGCAAGTTGACATGGCTATAGAAAATAATTTGAATTGTTTATTTCATTTGTTTGTCTGAATATAACTGTATTTGCAGTGCTGAATGCAAACTTAAGTCAGTGCTGAATCTTAACGTTACATGTATAAGACTAATGGTTAAAATGACCTGATACAAGCAGAAGGTAGAAATTAATTCTGTCATTAATCCATACCGCTGATTCAGACTACTTGCATCAATGATGCAGCATAACATGAGTGTTTTTGATGATGTAATAATATTAGATGGATGCTGAATTTGACTTTGTTAATTTTACATCATGTACAGAGGAATGCTCTTGTCTGGTATGGTCTTACTGTATGTGGTGAATGATTGTTTTAAAGATTACATGTACATGTAGACTACAGTGTTGTTTGTCAGATAAAGGAAACAAATAGACTTGTCATGTAAGATCTTTTACTGACACAGAAGAAGACAGAATAAAAGTTTATCCAAATTACTTTTTTATGAATATATTTATTTAATGCAAATTGTCTCAAAATAGTTGTAATTTCTTTTAAATTAAGGGTAATAAGACGGAACAAGAAAATATTATCTGACGTCTCGTACCTGACCAAGGGAGCATTTGTAACTGTAGCATAACATTGTGGCCTGCAGTCTGGATGAAATTCCCACATGTAAATTCAACCTATTGTATTAAGGTTTAGTTCCATTGGCTGTATTACTTACAAATGTTTAATGTATAAATCAATGTTAGTGACAGGCTCTGCAAGGATCACTCAACTTGCTATGTCAAAATCTTTACCCCCACTTTTGTGAAATATGGTGCTTAATTTATGGAAATAGATCTCTAAACAAAATTTAATTGCTTGATTTGGGTTGCCTTTTTTCTGTGATTAAAACTTATAAAAAAGAGTATCCAAACTCCCATTTGTTCGTACATACTATTGCAAGTGTGAAAATGAAAGATTTAAAAAAATGCCCAAATATTCCAGCAAATGAATCTGAACCCATAACTTTTAGGGGATAAGGAAAAAGTGAGACACCATTTGGCAGCTTAGATATAAACTTTTATAAGGGTTGGGGGAGGGGACCTGTGGAACCCCCCAATATGTCTCATGATATCTTGAAAATTTAATTAAAAAAAGGAACTTTCATGAAATCTCTTTGGAAAAACCATTCCCTTGCAGTTTTCAGTCCAATGAGGTCTTTGTCAATGGGTTGTGTCACCTAAGTTGTCAATTTCCCTATTTTGAATTTTCCATTTCCAGATAGCAACATCCTTGCATTCTCAACCTATGGTGTTTACATATAGCAGTTGATTTGATATTCAATGGCCTGCTCTCATTATCATGATTTTCATGCAAGAAGTAATCAACAGATGAACAAACTAAGATGCATGTTAATGAAAATTATTGTGAAGTTTTCCAATCGTCAGTGATCTCATTAAAATGTATTCCATTTTTTTGTGTTGGACATGTGGTCACTATTCACATCATCATTAAACACTGTGGGTAGCAGGATGTAAATGACCATCATAATCAATTGATAGCGCCAGGTTATACACATACATGCCACTTATTTAGCATTGATGTGTAGTGTAATACTAATTGGTAAATATTTATGGATCATGGGATTTTGGCACATGTTTTGTCAAAGAACAACATTCAGGGTTTTCCATAAGAGCCGGTCGCCGGCCAATTTGACCGGCTACTTTGATCATTTGGCCGCCTATACCAATCCGGTTCCGTATTAATGTTCCGCACACGACTACACGTACATGGCAGGCCAGCCTCCTACTTTCACTACACAGCCTACTACTAACAAAATTATGGAAAACCCTGAACATTGTTACACTTCAGGTTTTGATAAGATAATCACGTCACGACTGTTCAAATAATTGTAAGATTCATGAAAAATTAACAAACATTATTCCTTAGTCATATTAAGTCTCCAGTGGCAGAAAAGTGTCATTTCTGATGATTAGTTTCTTGACGGGTTGTCTCCTGCTTAGGTGCTAGGATACTTTTAGATACTTCTTCATGATTTTGGGCAATGTTGACACTGATAGTTCAAACTCTTAATTTATTTTCTCCAGCATAATTTTGAATCATTCTAACAGGTTTAGCAATATTTTATTAACTTTTTTATCGAACAAAATGAAGGTTTACCATACTTGGATTGACCAGGTGTTGTCAATTAAAGCGTAAGATGTTTACTCTTCCAGAACTGCTAGTCTCATTCTCCTTGTACTTCTTTAGGAATCTCCATGTAAATCTTCATTTTGTTCATATTTTGCCATAGTTTTGTTGAAGTTGAGTTTGAATCATGATTGTGTTGACATGTTATTGTTTTCTTGTGACTTTTTATTAGAGGCTGTTTTACAGGCTGTGTCTTAACATTTAGTGGTCTTTTCTATGGGTTGTCATTTCATTTAGCAGTCTTTTCTATGTGTTGTCATGACATATAGTGGTCTTTTCTATGGGTTGTCATTTCATTTAGCAGTCTTTTCTATGTGTTGTCATGACATTTAGTGGTCTTTTCTATGGGTTGTCATGACATTTAGCTTTTTTTTAAAGGATTGCCATGACATTTAGCTGTCTTTTCTATCAGTTGTCATGACATTTAGCTTTTTTATGGGTTGTCATGACATATAGTGGTCTTTTCTATGTGCTGTCATGTCATTCAACTGTCTTTTCTATGAGTTGTCATGACATTTAGCAGTCTTTTCTAGGGTTGTCATGACATTTAGCAGTCTTTTCTATGGGTTGTCATGTCATTCAACTGTCTTTTCTATGAGTTGTCATGACATTTAGCAGTCTTTTCTAGGGTTGTCATGACATTTAGCAGTCTTTTCTATGGGTTGTCATGACATACAGTGGTCTTTTCTATGGGTTGTCATGACATTTAGCTGTCTTTTCTATGGGTTGTTGTGACATTTAGCTTTTTTTATAGGTTGTCATGACATAAAGTGGTCTCTTCTATTGGCTGTCATGTCATTTAGCAATTCTTTTCTCTGGGTTGTTATGTCATTTAGATGTCTTTTCTATGGGTTGTCATGACAATAAGTGGTCATTTCTATGGGTTGTCATGACATTAAGCGGTCTTTTCTATCGGTTGTCGTGACATTTAGTGGTCTTTTCTATGAGTTGTCATGACGTTAAGTGGTCTTGTCTATTAGTTGTCATGACATTTAGTGATCTTTCCATGAATTTTGTCATGATATTTAGAGACTGTTTCATGGGCCATATCTTAAGATTTGGTGGTCATCTGTGGGTTGTGTTGTGATATTTGGAGGATGTTTCCTGGGTGGTGTTGTGATATTTGGAGGATGTTTCAGTTGTTGTGTGGTGATATTTGGAGGATGTTTCATGGGTTGTGTGGTGATATTTGGAGGATGTTTCATGGGTGGTGTTTTGTGGTGATATTTGGAGGATGTTTCATGGGTCGTGTTGTGATATTTGGAGGATGTTCCATGGGTCGTGTTGTGATATTTGGAGGATGTTCCATGGGTCGTGTTGTGATATTTGGAGGATGTTCCATGGGTCGTGTCATGATATTTGGTTTTGTTATGATATGTAGAGGCCATTAGTGACAAGTGTATGTTTAGATCTTGAGTCCTGTA